CCGTAAGAACACATGTAAATTTATTATCAAGAACATCAAGTTTCTTACTTTGATTGTTAACCAAATCAAAAAGCTTTGATTGCTCAGCTCGAACATCATCCAAACTACTTAATATACGTTTTAAATCAGTAGAATCAAAATGCTTGTCACTGGACTGTGAGGAAACTGGACTGTTTGAAAAGTCAGACTGTTGAAGGATCTTCATTGATTTGGTACAGTTTTGACACGTCCACAGTTTGTTGGCACTTGTAAGAAAATCTACATCTTCTTTTTTTAAAGAGACACATTCGGGATGAAACAAATGTTTGCAATTATTACAAGTTAAGTTAGATTGACTACGTTTCACAGTTAAAGAACAAATAGGACAAGATACCATTTTATATTACTAGCTGTAACAATATAGCAATAAGAGAACGATAAGAGAACGTGTGCACGCAATGACTGCTGATAGACGACGATAAATTGTACAAACTGACAACTGAACAAACAAACACTGTCTTTTTATATATAATTAGTAAGATAATATAAATTATATATTTTATTAGTGCAGTTATTTATCATGATACACCACACACAGCTCCTCCTATTTTATTACTTCTTGTTTTATTCATAATTCAAAATATAAATTTTAAATAATACACTAAGTGGCTACAGCAAAATATAATTAATTGTAGTTGGAAATACATCATTACATGCAAGTATTAAATTATGCTAAAAAAAAAAACTTAAATTACTTCTTAATTTTTTTAAAATGTTAATCATAAAATTATAAACCTAATATTTTGTATGTAGATACATCTTATAACGTATTTGTGTTCACACACTACCGTTATTGATTAATGTTAAATAATTTAATTAACATTTGGTTGGTATTAGCATTGGTTATAAAATAATTATAATTATTAATAATATTATTTATTCTATAATCAATGGTATTAGGCATTTAATTAATGTACGAATAAGATACTATAAGATATTATGAAAAGTAAACGTAAAATTGTACAGTTGATTTTTTAAAAGAAAAATTATAAATAGCTATAGATTTTAAATTTTTCACCTACTATAAATAGTTGTATGTGTTTTAGTTGAGTGTTAATGCCATAGCATAATAACTAACCTAACCTGACCTAACCCTAATATTTATCATATCTATCATTATAGTTACCTACATCTTTTCAATAAATAAGATTTTCGTTTTCTCTTTATATTGTAAAATATAATTAATTATTATTAGACTGAGGTATCTACATTTTTAAGAAAATATATAGTTATGTTATGCCATGTGATGTTCCATATAAAGACTCAAAACATTATGGATCTAAATTAAATATTCGAAATAAAATATTTTATGTTTATATTATCATGACGTCATAAATCATAAGTATTATAACCAGTGGTGTAGATACAATTTTTTTCTGAGGGGGTTGTGTAAGAATAAGTTTTTAAGTGTTCTTAGTATATCTTAAAACGAGGTCATATGTAATAATATTACATTTAAAATGGTATTATTATTATGTCCTGTATTTAATGAAAATTATTTTGTTATTCAATTTTTAATATATACCTAATCATAGTAAAATCAAAATATTTTACTCTAATATATAAATATTAATAAATAATAATCAAATATCATTGTTCGAGACTCACAGCTTACACTCTCTGCGGGCCCGGAACCGGTCTCATATCTTATTGGATTGGTATGTTCACCGGGGCCGTAGAGAATATTCTCGAGATCGGGGGTTTGTTGTGGAGTGACTCTCGTGGTGTGAACTTGGAGCCCTGCGCGTTGGCGTACGCTAGTGGCAGTGTTAATTATTTTGTTAGAGATTAACGTAATTTAGTATTTACTTTTTTTTTTTTTTTGTGATTCGCCATTGACCACGAATTTGTACCCGGGTTAATCCTTGTACCCATTCTCGTTTGTCCCTGCCGTTGCGGATCGTCCGTGTATTTAAGTTCCCGTCGCACGTATTGAGTTATCCACGGTCGCGTGGGATAGAATCCACCGGGACTCAAATATATTGAGGTACAGGGAGCTGTGCCTCCCTTTATTTTTTACATTATTGAAATTGTAATCTTTTAATTTATTATTGTTATTTATTATTAAATTATATTATTGGTATGAGGGCGCCCAATTACAAATTATTATATTGTAATATAACATGTCACTGCCAAATTTGTTTAACATGATTCTCGTGTCCGCGGCTTGAAAGGGTACGGGCGCAAGCTCGGTGCTGGTGGTCCATATGACGACCCGGGCTCCTTGTTCATGCCTTGGGGTTCGTTTCGACCGCGTCTCTTGAGTAACGACTCGCGTTAATAGAAAGTGCGCGGGCGATAAGGCTTCGACCACAAAACCGGATCTCGTGTCAAATTTGTTTATATTTGTTCATTATTATTATTAAGAAAATTAGTCCCGATACCCTCTGATCGATACAAAATAGGACGTGCGGTTTCAGGACCACATACATTTAGTTGCGGCCGGCAAATACGTAGGCGTTTTGCCGTGTCGGCTTAGTTAGCATAAGTTTTAAGAATCAAAGGCGAATAATCATAAACAGGTCTTGTGTTATTTTATGAATATAATTTTAGTAGTACAACATGTCACTTTTATTACTGTTACAATAATAAATGATTTTTAACGAACTACAATTTATAAATTTACAAAAGAAATTTCATAATATATAATATACATTATAGATCTATATTCTCTGTTAGAATCAAAAATATTAGGTACCATTTATGGGAACATGTATTTATTTTGTTAATAAGGAAATAAACCATAGTCCACTATAATCTTTAAACTAAAATTATACAGTAGTATTAATTTATATTTTACAACTACTAACGATAATAAGATAAAACATGATGCTAATATATTAGCAACTAGTGAAACATACTAGTCAATTGTTTTACTAACACGTAGTAAAATAGTTATATAATATACAGGATACTATAGTCTTAGTTATAGTCATCTATTTTATTACCGGGGCAATACAAAATATTGTAATATAATTATATAACTATATTATAATTGTCCAGCTACGTGAAACTATATTTTTACTCGCAACTGATAAAATAGCTAGTTCGTCAAAAAGTTTAAATATTTCAACTTTGCAAGCAAAGTAGTACACTAGGAAAAAAGTTTACTAATTTGCTAAAATATTTTATTTAGACGAGTATTTTTACTAGCAAATAGAGTGAACTAGCCCCCTAATTGCTAGTAAACTAGCATCGTGTAACACAAGCTTAAATATTGGATTAAATCTTATTGGATTAGGGTATGCTAAAAATAACATAATACCATTTTAACAAAAATTATTTATTTTAAGCTTCATGTATTTAAGAATTTAAGGTTTGAATTTTTATTCGTTCATAACTTGTTTAGTAAAAAAATCAAAAACAATTATAGTGCCTAGAATGTATTAATTTAATTTTCCTTCGGCATAATTCATAAATAATCTATATTATATACTGATTTATAATTTAAGCAGAAAAAATTGTAGAAACTATGTCAATTTATATGTAAATCTAATCATGTTATTATATCTTTTATCAATATTTTAAGACTAAATTTTTAATTTTTTTCCTAGTATAAATTATATTTACATAATAATTAGTCTTATATATATACGAGTAGCCAATCGATTAATAGTAAATAATTAACAAGACAGGTTTTATTCACAAAATTATTTTTCCAAATTTTTAATAAGCCAAGAGTGTTATAAACGTATAATACATTTAAATAGTAACTAATAACAATAAAAAAATCAATATTTAATACTGATTTTCCCTATTGAATCCATGATGTATAATAATTATAATACCATGATGATTGCCGCCGTCAAGGCACTTGGTAAAGCACAGATTATTTGAACATCGATATGTAATAAGAAGTAATAAAATTTCTTATCAACCAATTATAACGAAAATATTTATGTTATTATTAGGAAAAATTAAAGAAGCCATATTCTACGAATTGCCATTAAACATCCATTCATTTTAGTCATACCAAAATAATATTGAAAACTATTACTATTGATGCGATTTACAATAACTTCGAGTATAATATGCAGTGCTCGTAAGTTCATTTTTTTGCTATATCTGAAAACATGCTAAGTGAGATATAAATGTGTTTCATAACAATTGTAATAAAAAATTGCAAATTTAATAGAGCGTGTTTTTGCATGTTTTGTATGTGTATCAAGTTCTCTGATTGGATCGGTTGTATTTGTATATTCGTATATATGTGTTTTAACACGTTAACTGCCACGAGCCCGCCGGCGTTCTAACACGGATATGTAATTGTGAAGTCATGGTATAAAAAACAGGGAATAACTATAATGTTCATGTATGTATTAATAAATAGGAGAGACTAGTTGGGATTGTAATTAGAGCCTTACGATTGGAAACTTCTGAATTCTGAAACGAATTTAAAATAAAGATATTTAGGTCGCCGCAGTGGCGTACATAGAAATTATTTTTACCATGGACCAATTTACCCCCACCATAGCAACAACTAGACATTTTTTAGGGAACGGGTGACTTAAATTCTTAGATTTTTTTCGAAAAAAATAGAACTAAATCATATTCCTCGCAACAGTGTATATTGACTTGTGCATGCGCGTGTGGAAGTAATCCTCTTCTGCTAATCGTTGCCGCGCCGGCGCGGCGCCGCTAATTATAGTGCCCGCATCGTTATCAATTTGTTTATTTTATATTATATTATACCCAAATGGGCGAAGCACGTTTGGGTACATTACATTATTTTTACCTGTAAATTTGGAACACGTTTGGGTACACAAACACATAGCACGTTTGGGTACATACACTAATATTATGGCCAATAGGTTATCACGAAAAAAAAGATTAACTATCTTTATAAGATATGGTTTAAGAGTAAATGTTTCAATGTTCAGTTCCGATTTGGATTTTCAATCGGCAAGATTATTTTATTCTTTGTAATTATCACGAAAAAAAAGATTAACTATCTTTATAAGATATTATGGTTTATGAGTAAATGTTTCAACGTTTCAATGTTCAGTTCCGATTTGGATTTTCAAACGGCAAGATTATTTTATTCTTTGTAATTATGGACGTGAACATTTCCGATGTTTTTGAAACCCGACGTGGGAAAAAGTGTGTTGCGATTAACAGCTATAAATTTAGTGAGTTTAGAGAAAACAAAGATACGACTAAAGTTTTTCGTTATTTTTCTAGGTGTTTCTAAATGTTATATTAATACCTATGTCCTATGTACCCAAACGTGTTATTTTTTTAGAGATATGGTGTACCCAAACGGTGTATTCATTTGTACCCAAACGTGTTGCGTTTAGGGTCTACTATACCCAAACGTGTTACGGCCACCCAAATGAAATTGGGCTAAATATTGCAATAATTCAAAAGCCTATAAATAAACTCTCAATAATAAGACATAGGTA